TGCCCGGCCCCGGCCCCCCCGGCGCGGTGTCCCCACGGTGCCACCCGCCCCTCGTGTCCAGGAGCGGGTGCTGATTCGGGGGTGGGAAGGTGGGGGCAGGAGCCCGTGGCAGGGGAGGGCGGCCCGGGGCCGTTTCCATTTGCTTTGAATATTTCTGTGTGTTCCTCGTTGTCCCTTTTCCCTCTGTACAAAATGAGCTGTATGGTCATGGGCGTCGGTGACACGGTGACGTGCGGCTCCGGTGGCCGCCCCGCTCTCACTGCAGCAGGGCCCGGATCTGTTTGGACGTGGTGTCATCGTTGAGGTGCCGAGTGGTGTACCTGGACGGGGAGGGGACACGGCTCACAGCCCCCCGAGCCGCTCTGCTGTCACCCCACAGCGCTGCCGGGGGACGCCACAGCCCCGCTGTGTCCCCAAGCCCCCGTCTCACCTCAGAGCGTTCAGCAGCCCCTCGGTGCTGGTTGAGGGTTGGTCTTTCAAGACTTTAATGCAGCCTTTCATCTGATGGGGGCAGAGAGAGGGGCTGGGAGACCCCCGAGGGACCAACGGGGGCTCCCCCTTCCTCCCCATCCTCCTCCTCAGCGCCCAAGTCAGGGATCACAGCTGCTGGGGTGGAGCGGCACGGCTGTGACCCCACAGCTGTGACCCCAAGACAACTCACATCAATCTTGGAGGTCTTGGCGAAGGCCCCCACGGGGTGGACGTGGTCGTAGAGGATGATGACGCCGACCATCACCCTCATGCAGAAGAGCAGGGTCTCGGTGTTGGTGAAGCGGCTCCGGTACTCCCTGTGCCAGGACAGAGGCTGCCTGAGCCTGGGCGGGGTGGCAGAGGGACCCCAGGAGCGAGATGTCCCCCCAGAAGCCCCAAGAGGGGATTCTAGGTACTCACGGGGTCTCCAGCATCACCCTGCACACACAGGCCATGGTGCTCAGGCAGTCGGTGGTGTCCTCGATCGGGAGGGTCTTGTTCTGAAACCCAGCAGGTGCCAGCTGCTCTTTCCACCCCCAGCTCGATGTGTGGCGGCTGGAGGGGGTTTCTGCCCACCCTGAGGGTCCCCCCAGCCTCCCTCACCTCTGAAACGAACTTGGTGGTGGCATTGCTGAGTGTTTTCAGCATGGGGGTGGCCTCGGCGTAGAAGAGGGACATCCTGTTGGCCATCTCATTGTTCACCTCGCTCTCTGCATCCAGCTGGGGGGGTTTGATGTGGGTCACCGGGGTGGCTGAGCCCCCCACAAACCATTCCCAGGCCTGTGAACCCCTGGGGGAGGCCAGCCCCGCTCGGGGGAACAGCAGAGTCACCTGCAGGTTGTTGATGCGATTCCGGCTGATGGTCCGTCTGTAGTAGCTGAAGTCGTTCTGGATGGCGGGGTTGGTCATCTGAGGGGGGGGGACAGCAGGGTCAGGGGTCCCAGGGGACTCTGCCGGCTCTGTCCCGGGGTGGGGACCCCCCCTCGCTGCCGCCCCGCACGGGGAGGCACCTTGAGCTCGTCGAAGCTGAGGGTGAAGTGCAGGATCTCGGCGAACTGCTTGGCCAGGGCTTGCTCCCGCTCCAGGTGCTGGGTCGGGGCGTAGGGAGGGCTGGTGAGGGCCTCCAGCAGGCTCCGCAGGGCGTTCTCTG